CATATCATAGGTGCGCGCGAATCTCGAGACTTACGGTCTCCGTCCCCGATTATGGCTCCTGATAAAAAAACATTTCTCTAGTGAATATCACGTGGTCTGAAATGGAAAAACAACCGCCCAAACAAAAGGTCTATAAGTATTGATGATGTACAGCTGCAAACTGAAGTAAACTCTTTTATGCATATTTCAAAATGCACCAGATTCTCAGCAACGTTATTACTTCGGACCTTCTCGTAAACATTTTGTCAAAATTTTACGGAATATAGGTGATTTTAAAGGAGTTTGTAGGAGAATATTTCAAAACAAAACTCTGTCACGTTCGTTTTCCTCCCATGTTCTACTGATTTTACGCAAAAAGTGAATACTATTCAAAACTATTGTTGCCTTTTCACACCATCACTCGTTGAGATCAAAATGAAATGTCCACAACATCTAGTCGATTAACAATTCGAAGAGTTAGTATTCTATTTACACTTGCTAGATACAGGATGATTATTTCAAACTGGGTGCTACGCGTCTTGTTTCCTATTTAATTCATCACCTCGTATCCAACGCGGGCTCATGGAATAAATGTTTAAAAAAAAAAAACCTCAAACTTGTTGAATGAGCTGATGAGCGCGCGTATACAGCTGTAACAGGGCGTAAAAAGATGAGGTGGTGAAACGGGCAGTCCGCTCTGGCACGAGCGTTCCATCCGCGGTTCCGGTGTGATTAATGGCTGACAAAAAAACGGTCCGGAAATCATGGTTTCTTTCCTTATTTTTGACCCACCACTGACGCAATTTTGAAGACTTTTTTGATGCTTTTGGCCCACAACGCAACACGTTTGTCTGTTGAAATTTCGCTTAAGAATCTTCGTCCTGTTAGCTGCTCAAATTTTTGTCGTGAAATAAGACAGTGTCGAATTCGCCATTTCCACATCCCCCATAATACACCTTGTTTGCCTCCCAAAATTCTGCATAACCTTTTTTTCCCATTTCTCCTGGGTATTACAGTCGTCCCAAGAGAAACTGAAGACATTGCTTATGCAAAATTTTGGGGGGGGGAAACAAGGTGTATTATGGGGGATGTGGAAATGGCGAATTCAGGTATGTCCCGCTTACCATGGCCAAGTTGTGTTCCGCTAGTTCTTTTACGAGAGCTCTGCATTACACCACTCTAAATTTTACATACGTTGAAGATCAACAGATTTTTCATAACGTAAAAATAAAGCTGGATACATTCGATAAAGCAGCGTTTGAGAACTTCAAAGTTTCCCCGCTATTGCCACAAGCTTGCGAGGCTTTAGCTGTAGAGTCTGTCTCGGCCGAAAAGTAATAAAATTTTGCAAGATGGAGCTTCACCTGAATTTAAAGCAAAACTTGATATTTCATCAAGGAACAATAATTTTACGTCTGTAAAAACCGTTCAGTTTTGTTTGTGTAAAAAATCTAAATATAACATTGGCGGTTGTCGATGAAAAAGAGCGCCCGCCGATGCGTGTTTTGTAGCTAAACATGACAAATTGGACTTTCGTGTAAATCCGTACATCGAACTCATACAATATCTCTAGTTTTTAAATGTGTTTAAGATTGATAAATGTTTGAGAACATATTAAAGGGTTAGCTCAAGGGAAATATTTGAAGACAGCAGAGATAATCAACAAAGTTAAGGTATCGCTTTCTGTAATCAACCGGAATAACGATTTCGATTTAATTGTTCGAGTTCTCAAAATTCCTTGACCATTTCGTTTTCGCAGTATGCAATCTCACTGTCAGTGAAGAAACGCATATGATTTTATTGGCCTTTTGGCGTTGGCGAAAATCGTCGCAGCATCTCAGCACAAAAGTTAGCGAGCGAGATTTGTTGACAATTGAAAACACTTCATCCATAAAACTTCCGTAAGGACGCCAAACAATCAGAAACAATAAGGAACCATAGAAAACAGATTTGATTAAGTATTGTTCTGAGAAACTCTCAAATTAACTCGAAACCTTACCTATAAGCTTTATTCATAAGTCAGAGGAAATGCAAAAGCTTAAGCGTACAACTACGCGAGCAGATCTTAATCGAAGCACGAAATTGATGTCCTGTTTGCAACCCTAAATTTCAACCCTGAAAAATTTACTTTTTTCCCATTGTTTCAGAACAATAACAAACGGACGCTTATTCAGTTAAATTTCTCGGAATTTCTTTAGAAATCTAAGTTCCAGATTGTGAGTAAGCGGAATCTGCTCGTTTTAGTTAACTCCAGTCTAATGATTCACACCTTTTTGCTGGGATCCGGTTGTAAGC